GGGCGGGGTGGTGACAGACTTCTCCCCCCTCCGGGTCCCCGCACAGTGGGTGGAAGACGTCCGAGAGAGGCTCCCGGGAGATGTGCCGTTTGTGCAGGTGGGGCCCTGGGCTGCGGGAGGGGCGCTCGGGCTGTAGGCTGTCTCCTCACTCGCACGTGGTCGCACGACGGTGGTGAGAATAGTGCCGCTCACAGCTGGCTCCCGGCCCTTGTCATCAGCTCAGCGGCTGAATGAAAATGTGGGGAGCATCTCACCGCAGGTGGCCCCAAGCTCAGGGGTCACCCCCAATAGAACAGCCTTACAGAAGGGGGGTGTGAACCCAAGCAGGGCTCAGCCATGGGGCAGGGGCTCCCGCTCTCTCCGTGGGAAGGTTTGTGGGTCTGCAAGTGTGTATTGGACAGAGTCAGAAGGCTGGGTCAGAGACTGAGCGGGTGGGAGGAGGGTAAAGGATGAAATTGTGCTAGGGGGACACATGGCCACTGCACGGAGCTGGGCAGCCGGGGCAGGAAGGAGGGACTCCTTACACGTACTGACCCCCCCTTGGAGCCAGTGCCCCCCCTCACCCAGGAGCCCTGGAAGCAGCAGCAGCCAGAACCGCAGCTCCACCCCTCTGCCCAACCGCCTGCTCTGACTGGCCCTTACGCCTGTCCATCAGGGATAACTTCCCAGGGCCTGGTCCCGCCTCCTTCCTTTTCCTTTTTTCCCGTTGCCATGGCAATGCTTAAAGGGCCAGGTGCCCAGAAGAGGGCAGGCCCAGGGGATCGTGGAAAGGGGTTGGGCCTTTCGCACAGGGCCAGGGCCCTCACCACCGGGGTCACGTCCCTTCGCACAAGAGCCAGAGCCATTCACGCTGGAGTCAAACCCTTTGCACAAGGGACATGGTGCATCCCCTGCAGGCGTCACCCTTTCGCCCAGGGCCCCCTTGCTTTGCACGTTGGCCTCCCTACTTTGCACAGCCCACGTCACATCGCCCATGGAGGCTGGCTCCTCGCACGATGACGTGGACACAGGACATGACATAGCAGCCCTGGCCCTGGGTGAGCGGCTGCTGTAGGATTGGGACCCCAAATGACCTTAGTTAAAAGGACAGGAAAAATTAGCACTTGCCAAAATTAAGGATGCCCGTGTAACCTTAACTCTGCCCCCAGAGCACACGGAGCTAGGTTTTTAATGTTATGATTGCATGCTATATTCCCCCTGCCTCCATCAATGCAGGGGCCCTAGTTCAGTGACACACATGCTGTGATTGGGGAAATGAGAGAATGTGTGTGTGTGGGGGGGTGTACACTGTTGTCAATAGTTTCAACAACATTATTAAGCAGGCTCAGTACAAGCCAAGCAGCAAACTGGTGGGGGGACCAACTCCTTCCATCTTCCCCCCATGCACACTTTAGGGATTTTTTTTTTTTTGGTAGAGAACTTAGCAATGAGCTGACAGGAGCCCTGAATCTAGTTCCTATGGAGAAGAAAGGAAATTCAATAAATACTAGCCGCTCTCAGCGCTAATGCTAACTCGTTCTGCCATCTTGTGGCAAGTCACTTCAGGGGCACTGAAGTGGGCTCGTAATCCCATCGACGGGTTTGGTTTTGTTCGTCTTGCAGGACTCTTCGTTGTTTGTTCAGTTTTTCCAGTTACAGACTCACTCGGCTCCCCCTCTGAAAAATTAAGAGACGGGGTCAGCCTGAAAACTCTAACACGCATCCTGTGTTACAAACTCTGCAGACAAAGAGTGAGGCTCTCAGAGGCTGCCCTGGGCTCTGTTGCAGCTCTGGGGGGCAGTGGGGTCTAGCGGGTTAGAGCTGGGGGTAGATTCCTTTGGGCTCTCTAAAAGACCATCCAAACAGCCACACTGGTCAATCTAACCCAATGGCCTGTCTTCCAAAACAGGCAATTGTCAAATGATACGTCCCCCAGCCGTCACCCGTCCCCAGCTTCTGGCTAGTAGCCACGGATGGGCCTGTCCTCCTGGAACATTTGTTGTTCTTCTCAGAACCCGGTTACAGTTTGGGCCGTTCCGCCCTCTCCTGGCAAAGAGTTTCACAGGTTGACTGTGAAGAAATCATTTGTTGTGTGCGTTTTAAATCACCTGCCTGTAAATTCCCTTGGGTCCACTTCCTGTGTTACGTTAGTGAAGGAGTAAATAACGTTTCTTAGTCTATGTTCCCACACCCTTTGTGATTTTCTAGACCTCTGTCGTATCCCCCCCATCCCTTAGTCACTTCCAATTTCTCTTTTTCAGATGTGGTGACCTATCTGCCTGCAGTAGACAGGCTGTGGGCATACCAGGGCTTTATGTAGAGGCAATAGGATGTTCTCTGTCTTATCTATTCCTCTCCTAATGATTCCCAATATTCTGGTTGTTTTTTAGACTGACGCTGCACATGGAGCAGATGTTTTCCAGGAACTATCCACGAGGATTCCAAGATCTCTCTCTTGAGTGGTAACAGCTGATTTAGACCCCTAGGCCGGGCCCCCCAGGCTCTGGTGTGCACGGGGAATGTGGGGGAGTGCCTTTTTCTCTCTCAGTCGGGGCTTCGCATTTGGCTTCTCACTTGTGTGTGGCCCCCGACTGATTTTTCAGGAGCTCCTGACCCAGAAAAGTTTCCCCAGCACCCCACAAAGTTTTCATGACAAGCCTCTTGTTCTCTAAAGCACCCTACCTCCCTCTGTTTATAAACCAACTCCCTGCTACACCCCCCAAGCTGGGAGCAGCACATACTCTGGTGCCTGAAGGCTGCCTCTGGAGCAGGCGCTTTCAGCAGACTTGGGTATGAAGTCCAGGGGTTAAAACTTTCGGGAGGGTTACTGGTCCCCCATAAATGGTGCCCTTGCGGCTGGATTGCCTCCGGGGGAGGAGGAAGAAGCGAAGGCACCGGGTAGCAGAAGGCCCCTGCTTTGCGGGAAGGGGCGAGCGGGCGAGCGAGGCAGGGACCGGCAAGAAGAGAAAAGATGATGGGAGGATGAATGCTGCCCTGGGGAACTGGGTTTGGTCGCTGCCTTGGCCACAGAGTTCCTGCAAGATGGGGCTAATCCCGCACAGGGGAGATGGAGCCCTTGCTGGCTGGCTCAGGCTGGCAATGGGGCAAGGATATTGGGGCTCACGGGAGCTGCTTTGTGTGCGGGGAGGGAGGTTAAGGTGCCTTGGGAGGCGGGGCCAGGAGATGCCCCGCCCTCGTGACGAGGGTGCTACTTTGCAAAGTTGGAGGTGACTCAGCCTGGGGTGGCTTGGGGCTGGGCAGGAAGAGCTTCTCTCAGTGGCTCCCATATGGTCTAGCGGTTAGGATTCCTGGTTTTCACCCAGGCGGCCCGGGTTCGACTCCCGGTATGGGAACAACCAAACTTTTTTTCCCTCCCCTCCCCTTGCAAGTGCGAGGCCAGAGCCCAGCTCTGCCTTTGCCCTAGTCCCTGCGACCAGGAGGGGGGGGATTAACAGTCAGGCAAATTCCCTGCTCCCCCACACACACTTCCCCACCAGCACAGGGACAGCCCC